CATCAGAATTTCATTTTTGCTTATAACGTCTACTTTTTTAAAGGTTTTTATATGTACAGTAATTAATTTGTATTAGTTTTTTTAACATCACACGAATAATATTTACAAATGTATAGCCAGTTGGATTATTGTTTCTTACAACTGTGTAATAAAAGGTAATAATAAAATACTTCTAAAGATCTAATGGTTTGTAACAGCCCATTGTCAACTAAAACAGTGATGCTTAGAAATGGAAGACCTTACGTAACAGACCTCTGCGAAGCAGAGTGCATCTTAAGGGCCTGTGGAACAAAGGCACTCAGCACCACCAAGGAGGTGCTGGAAGGGTCCAATGCCACAAGTTGTTGAGTGCCAGTAATTCCTATTAATTTCAGCACTTCCCGGGATTTGGCACAAAGTTTTCACCCAACCAAGTAGCTTTGAGGTAGTTTTCTATACTCAAATCCTGGATGTGTCCTCTTGTAGTTCAGTTGCCGCATGTTATCAAACCCTTCCACGTTTCAGACCCAAATATATATTTGTGTAAATAAAATATATTGGTGCTGCTTCATAGCTACCACTGCCTTTTTAATTGTTCTTGTTTTCCTCTGCATTAGCTGGTAAGCTGCTTTCTTAGTCTAGTACAAAACTATATTAGACAATACTTCACATTGTTTGCCATTTCATTCAGAGGAAGAGGAGCAGCTGCCCTCTGAAGATACAAATTAATTAGACACGAATACTATCCTGTTCTGTAGAGCATAAAGGCCAAACAGACTTGCTTTCTTTGAAAACATGGGACCAAAGTGATTTGTACCCTGCTTTTTTATGCTACCGTTCTGTGTGCAGTAATTAATATTCGTTGAATTGAAGTACAGTAGCATTAAAAAAGACCTAAATCTTTGGTAAAGTTTGTTTAATCTTGTTTGAGTTGTACTAATTCTTTAACCAAAACAAAATCCACAAATGAGGTAAGTGTCCATATAGAAATGAGATTTTTTTATAGACAGAGGCAATAAGCAAGAGAAACAGTATTGAATTATATTAGAATGGATTAATCTGGATTGCACTGTGTGGGGGTTTTTCTAGCACAAATTTTGGCTGAGGTCTCGTGACATTTAGCTTCAGAAAAGAGAATGTTAAGTCACCTATGGCCTTGTTGTTGGTTCTTATGTTTAAACACAGGGCACTTATAAATAAATCAGAAGAATATTTTTTTCTGCCAAAACGTCACTGACATTTCCCAATATTGTGTGTGCGTGTATCTCCAAAAACACAATTTGGGTAGGTCAGTGTTGTCTGTACTATTAGTTAAAGTTGTTTTTCAGAACAAGTAGCTGGATTTCAGGAAATGGGACTGACACCAGCTTCAGCTGGAATTAGTTACTCTAGGAAGTTAACTAATACCAGCACAGTACAGTCTCTTGACTGCGTTATATTGCTTTCTTTGCATTATTTATTATTGCAAAGACTGGCCGGCCCAAAAATTGATGTACCTTCAGAGTCACTATGTGACATGCACAGAAATTTACAATCCACTGTCTGTCATCTGGTGCAGTTTGTTTGCTGGTCTGAATGTTGTGTATATTGTTTAACTTCCTGCAATTACAACAGTTAGTTTGAAAAAGAAATGCATAAAGAGTTGGAGAAAGAGGGCCTGGGTTCTATTCCCGGACTTGTTGTATGACTTTAGGAAAGTCACTTAACCATCGTATTCCTCAGTTTTCCATGTTACCAACCTTTGTAAAGTGCTTTGAAATATATGGATTAAAAGCATTCTATACATGCAAATACTTATTGTTGTTTGTTACTTCATTCATGGGGGGGATCATCTTTTAGCTCTGCCTACTTTTAAAGCTGCTAACAAACTTTATCTAGCAAGATAAATTAAAATCACATCTATGTGATTATGGAAAATAGCAGTTAACCACAATCTCAGTCTAAATGTGTTTGTTTAGAATATATAAGTATGATAGAAACCAAAGGGTCTGCCTTCTGTTGTGAAATGTTTGTATTTTTGCTCTGTTGGCTGCAACTTTTCAAGGATACTTTCTCTGCAATTACACCAGCTCTTTAACCTGACTTCAATTTTATTTTTTATAAAGACACTAACATGGAACCATTTTAACAGCCCTTGTGAAAATTAATGTCACTATGTTCTTACCCTTTTAACAGCTTACGATCTGCCAGTTTTTAAAGTGGCAATAAATAGTTTTTGCATTTTTCACCCAAAGCCATTAATTAAAATAAAAATTGCAGCTTTAAATAAATAGTGCAGGGAGTTTTGTTTTTGTCTGTGTGGTACTTTATGCCTTTGCTCAGCAGTATAAACCATGACTGTGTAGAAAGAAATGACAAGCTGCTAGAACACTTCTCTGGCAAGCTTGCCCACAATTAACACAAGCAATATGAAATAATATGGCCTAATCTTTATCCCTTGCTGTGGCTCTTGCATTTCAAAAACATTGTGGCTTCACTAAAAAATAAAACTGCTGCCCGATTTTGATATCTGTTGACTCCTAAATGTATGCTATCCTTTTCCTGAACAGCAGCTGTTAAGGACATCAGACATCTAACCTAAATGACCCACGTATCCCCTAATGTTGTGTATGGTATTTGTGCTATACCTGAATACTTCCCTGTCATAGGGAGTCATGCAAAGGTGTACAGTATATAGTGTTCTCCCATGGGCTCTAAATGAGAGAGAAGAACTGGACCCTTCTGTCCCCAGGATATATTTTTGCAGTGGTGGTTGTGATATTGGCGTGTGCTTATCTGAGCAATTTTGGCAAAACCAAAGGGACTGTAAGGAGACTAGAGTAGCTTTTGTCTAAATATTAGTGCTGGATAAAATGCTCTCCAATCCTTGATTTATTTAAATTAAATACGTCTAATATTTTTCAGTTAATATCCTTCCCTTCTCAATGTCCAAAAGCCTCTTTTAGATACTTCCACCGCAAGAACCAGCAATTTCATTCTAAAATCGTACATCTGAATATTTGGAAATTCTCCTCATAAGAGCTTTGAAACAGAAAATTTATTTCTGTTGGTGAAAATTTCTTACGTAAGTGAACTGCACGTCAGCATTACAAAGTTCTTCTACTTTGCATAGATAATCAGGCCATAGTGGTAGGAGAAATTATGCTTTAAAATATCATCCCGATTGTTTTTCCACTTAGGGTGACCAGATGTCCCGATTTTATAGGGACAGTCCTGATTTTTGGGTCTTTTTCTTATATAGGCTCCTATTACCCCCCACCCCCTGTCCCGATTTTTCACATTTGCTTTCTGGTCACCCTACTTCCACTATTAGTTCCTCATCCATTCCTGGTAATGCCAGGCTGTTGTTCTGGATGCACTGGTACATTGAGATGATCTTTTTTAGGAGATACATGCTGATGCCATGATTCTTAAAACAAAACCACACACCTCATACAAACACAAACTTTCCATTTTAAACGGTTCTCACGTAAGAATAATATTGCAATACGTTGGTACTCAGTATAGCCTTACATTTTGTTGGCTTTTACAACTTTTTGTCCTATAATGTGCTGTCACATAATAGAACATTGCAGGATATGTCCTAGTTAGAACACTAATTTCTTTGTAAAAGAGACCTTTCTGTTGTGGTAACTGTAGCAACAACTACACAAAAGTCCCCAGATTTGCTATTCTACCTGAAGAATGGGAAACATCAAAATAATGAGAGTAAGATACATTTAAGAGGCTAAGTGATTGCATGTTTGATCCAATGCTTTTGTCTAACTTTTTTTTTTAAAAGAATCATAAATCTACAGCCAATTGTACTAAGGGTGTATTTATCCTTTCCAAGGAGCAGTCCTGATCATATGGATAGAGTTTGACATATGTTATCAAAACTTGTTGATCAAGGTGTAGACCATTATACAGTTAGATGTATTTTTATAATTTATAAATGCTTAAAATATATTGTAGATGATGCAGTTGGCACCTATGCACATCTGTATGAGTCCTGTTTTGCTGTGATAGGTAATTTTAAGCATGATAAGGGACTTCCATTATAAACACGTTTTAGAAAGCTAATCCTCTGTATGTTCACAGAACCTAGCATTGCGCACTGTTTGTTCGTAGTAAAACTCATTTGTTTGATCTTTTCAGTATTAACATCTGCTAAAAGGCAGTGGCAGGCCCCGTCAATTGTATGTAAAGAAATGTTTTAAAGGAAATCACAGCAATAGCCTAGTATTTCAGTGTAATTTTTTTTTTAAAGCCAAAGCTTAATAAAACTTTGGGTTTTTTGATGGTGATGAGATAAAATTTTAGACACTTAGAAGTGGGAATGGGAGAGGAAAGGAAACCTAGGAATCACGTTTTGATTTAGGAAAAGTGAGTGCTGACGGATAATATTGAGTTGCTAAGATTAACTTTTGTTGGTTCAGCGTGTATATAAAGTTTTTCAGCAGCAGAAGATTAAAGAAAAGTAGTTATAATAGGGAAGTAGCTACTAACCTGATTGGACAATTTATGGCCTATTTGGGAAACCTCTAATACATTTGCATAACATTTTATTTTTGGTTAGTTGCATACAATAGTTTGTGTCTTCTCTTTAGAAAGCTGATTCTGTATACTTGTCCACATTTAGAGAGTGATCTCAGATGTTCAGAAATAGCAATTTTTCTAAATGATTAAAAAAATAAATGAAAGCACAATTAGGTTACATTAATCCCTCTCTCAGAATCCATTCAAGGCAAGACTCCTGCAGGAGCTAGTCTTTCCGAAAGCGATCAGGAAAAAAGGAAGGCCTTGGGTTTAAACTTAAGGACAAGAGAAGCTTCATTCTGAAGATCACAGATATTAGCCCTGCTCCTGCATAACGGTGCCCATTGCCTCCACGTATAAAATGATCATTCTTGTTGAGTAGATGACTGTTTTCAAGAACAATGTTGTGAAAAAGATCTTGAATCATCAAAATCTAGCTGTGTTCATTTGGATCCTGCACCTTAAAAGCATTTAACGGTTCTCCCTGTTCATTCTTTTTCAAGTGGCTCAAGAGAAGCCAGAGCAGATCCCACTAGAGAGTCGTTCCTGTGTCCTCATTCGACGTGATTTAGTTGCTCTCCCAGCAAGTCTTATCAGTCAAATTGGATATCGGTGCCACCCAAAACTCTACTCAGAGGGAGATCCCGGAGAAAAACTTGAACTTGTTGCAGGTAATAACTTTTTTTTTTTTTTTTACATTAGAATGATTGAAGATTAGACATTTTTCTTTTTAGAATTTACCCCTCATCTCCCTTGAACCTTAGTTGCAATCAGACATATTGTATGCAAATTTTCCATTTTTGTGTATTACTATGAACAAATGTACCCATCACTAATCAGTAGGAAAAAAAAGAACATCTTAAATTTCCTTTAATTCACTGTCAGAAGAATGTGTCATTAGCAGGAGTTATTCAATTGAATTAATTTAGCATTTAATTGAATTCCCTAAGCTTGTATTCTTCCTGATTGGTATGGGCTGCATCACAACTGTATTTTAATTTCGCTTCACAGATGAAAAAAAATTACTTTTTTTACCTATCAAATGTTAAGATTTACAGAGCAGTGGAAGTAGGATTTATAGAAATGAACACACATTTAGACATTTTGGATTTTAATTAAAACAACAAAAACTTTAATAGTGGGTAAAAAAATTACACTGTTGGGCTTGTGGGTTTCTCCCTAGATATGAATTGCAAGGATCAATCCTAGGGACACATTTGGTGTATCTGTGACAAGGATGAGGCTGTAATCTTCTGGCTAGTCACAGATGGAATTGGTCACTTTTTGCAACCAGTAAGGCAATAGGACCCCAAGGCTGGAAACCAATTTAACATTCTAAGGACAGAAACCCTGGATAGTGGGAGATGCTCGAGAGGAGGCCAGGTTTTTTGAAGCATTTCCCTCTTTCCACCACATTCTTCTCAGTCTTCTCTCGGTTCAGCCAAATCGAGCTACTGTTTATCTGGATGCATATTTTGGCTAGGCGTTCAGAAAGCTGAGACATGGTACTGTTCAGGTTTGATATATTGGAGTTGTAGAGCTGGATGCAGATATAAAATATGCAAGACTTAAAACTGTAGTCCTGTCCTTTAGTGGCCATTAAACATCCCATGGCACTGTTATGTAAGAGGGATGTGTTGACCTTGATGTCCAGACCAAATTCCAATTTGGGTAATTACAGTCTACCTCCCTAAATGCCCATTGCAGTTTCAGTTGGATATGGTATTCTTTTCCACTTCCTGCCTCCACTGTTGTATAGTGTTATGAACTGCTGTCTTCTACCCCAGAAGTGACTCCATTCGGGTGATGTGATTCCTATGTAATAGCCCTTACTAACTTCACAGGTTGTTGTGAGGATTCATTAATACCTGTCAAGTGCATTGAGTTCCTCTGACGGAAAACGTCACAGAAGGGAAAAGTGAGTTAGTACTATCGATCCAAACCAGTTGTCCTTTCTTTCTGACCATTTTATATCTTGGATACAATACTATGAGAGCACACATTTATTTTCAGCCTGTTGTAGGAATGTTAATTTCAAAAATTAGCTAGACAGATTTCTCTCTGATCAAGGACATATATTTTCTTCAATGGAAGGCAGAAATAAAATGCACCCACTGTACAATAGCATAAAACCCCAAGTATTTATTTTGTAGCTGGAATATTCATTTTGTATCTGCTTGCATTTTATGTAAGACTTAAAGCCATCAAGTGATGCAGGTTATTTTCACAGTGAGAACTGCAAATTGGCTTGGGGCATCTTTGCTTGATTTACATTTTTCAATCTGGAAAAAAGTAGATTCATATCTTGGATAGCGGCTGCCTGGGTTATTTTTTATTTATTAAAGTGAAGTTACCCTTGGTAGCATCTGGCTTTCTCTCTGACGGCTTCTCTTTTAAAATACTGTAACGAATAAAGGCTCAGCGGCTAATTACGGTTTCAAACTTAGCAAAAACGGATGGGGGTGGTTCTGCCCAAAGTACATAAGAAAAATCTTTCAGTGAAAGTTTAGTAACCGCCATATACTAAATACTTTCTTTCATCTCAGATTTTTCTTGCCATAATTGATTCTGAAAACTTTGCCAGATTTCTCTAGAAATGATTATAGTAAAACTGATTGATAGAGAGAGTGCACTGAGCATGGTCAGAAGCTGCAAGGTTCAGAAATCCCACAGTACCACTTGCTCTTCTCCCCTCCTTACCCTTATATTCAAAAAACCGTGTGTAAGAGGAAAGGAGCTAACCATCACCTGGTGAAAGATCAAGCAGTCATCTTACCGCCTGCGCTAGGACAGCACAGATGTTGTTTAGTTCTCCATTTCACCACAGAGGAAAAGGGTCAAACGCTGATCTTCTACACTGTAAATCGAGAGTTACTCTATTGAGCTCAAGGCAGTTGCTCCAGGTTTACTCAGAGTCTGTCCCACTAGTTTTTTAAATATTCTTTTATTCTTAATTTTAAAGGTAAGTACAGAACTAATCATGCATAGGCTTTCCTGGAAATGCAAGAAGTAATTTTATTTCTCCTGTATATCTCGGCTTCTGCAAGAACTTAGTCTGTTCCAACTCTAGATGTGACCTATATTTAAGCTTTATTTTAAAAAAATAACTTTTATATTGTAACTGTGTGCGTGAAAAGAAAATATGCACTTCCCCATCTTTGTGTAACCAGGCAGATTCTGAGGCATACAGTAGGTTTGCTTTCGCAAGCTATGTGTTATATAAAAGTGTTTGATAATGAAAGGGTAAGAGACCTACTATAAAACACTGACAGGCTGTTTCCAAACCTCTAGCTATGTAAAGCTTCCTTAGCAAGGTTGATTTCTCACCTACAAACATACTTTAAGCCAATATATTTGAGACCCAGCAATTCCTAGGCACTAGAAACTAAATTCCCAGCTCACCAAAATTACCAGCGAGGGTTGTGCTGTGTTTCTTGGAAATAAATGGATTTGTAAAATAAATATATCTCTCTTCCATGCCAGCCTCCTTTTTTAGTCTAAATGTGTATTCTACAGCTCTTTCCTTGACAGAAGGAAAGGCCGAATGGATGGTTGCTCTGGAAGGATGGTAGTAGTCTGCTATGGATCATTTTTAAAATGAAATAAATCATAGCACTGTGTGTCTTTTATGTAACTAGATCCTTGCACCAGACTGCAGTGGATCTTCTTTCTGTTTGGATAAAATCAGGAGATTATTATTATGGGCTGTGATTCTCACTAGACCCCCAAAGGAGTGAGTGCCCAGATCCCATAGACCCCGAACTTACAGTAGTCCCTTGAGAATGCAACTGAGATCATGGCCCTGTTGTGCTAGGCGCTGTATAAGAATGACCCTACTGGGTCAGACCAAAGGCCTGTCTGCCGACATTGGCCAGTGCCAGGTGTCCCAGAGGGAATGAACAGAACAGGTAATCATCAAGTGATCCATCCCCTGTCGCCCATTCCCAGCTTCTGGCAAACAGAGGCTAGGGACACCATCCCTGCCCGTCCTGGTTAATAGCCACTGATGGACCTATCCTCCATGAATTTATCTAGTTGTCTTTTGAACCCTGTGATAGTCTTGGCCTTCACAACGTCCTCTGGTAAGGAGTTCCACAGGTTGACTGCGTTGTGTTAAAAAATACTTTCTCTTGTTTGTTTTAAACCTGCTGCCTATTCATTTCATTTGGTGAGCCGTAGTTCTTGTATTATGAGACGGAGTAAATAACACTTCCTTATTTACTTTCTCCACACCAATCATGATTTTATAGACCTCAATCATATCCCCCCTGAGTCGTCTCTTTTCCAAGCTGAAAAGTCCCAGTTTTATTAATCTCTTCTCATACAGAAGCCGTTCTATATCCCTAATAATTTTTGTTGGCCTTTTCTGAGCCTTTTCCAATTCCAATATATCTTTTTTGAGATGGGGCAACTATATCTGCAAGCAGTATTCAAGATGTGCATGTACCATGGATTTATATAGAGGCATTATGATATTTTCTGTCTTATTATTTATCCCTTTCTTAATGATGCCCAACATTGTTAGCTTTTTTTGACTGCCGCTGCACATTGAGTGGATGTTTTCAGAGACTATCCACAATGACACCAAGATCTCTTTCCTGAGTGGTAACAGCTAATTTAGACCCCATTATTGTATATGTATAACTGGGATTATGTTTTCCAATGTGCATTACTTTGCATTTATCAACATTGACTTTCATCTGCCATTTTGTTGCCCAGTCACGTAGTTGTGTGAGATCCTTTTGTAGCACTTCGCAGTCTGCCTGGGACTTAACTATCTGGAGTAGTTTTGTATCATCTGCAAATTTTGCCACCTCACTATTTACCCCTTTTCCCAGATCATTTATAAACACATACTAGGAGACCACCCCTCCCCTGAAGAGTTTGCAATCTAAATAGGAAAACAGAAATATTTTGTGTTGCATTCTGTAGTGGGATTTACACCTTTAGGGAAAATAAGGGTGTGGATTTTAAACTCTGTACACTTCAACTCTTGCAGGCTCAGGTGTTTATATCACCCGGGGGCAGCTCATGAACTGTCATCTATGCGCAGGTGTCAAACATAAGGTTCTTCTGAGACGTCTTCTAGCCACTTTCTTTGACCGGTATGTTCCTTTTTGACAAAAAAAATTAATTTGAGCCTTTTTTCCCCATACTTGTTTTTGCTTTTCTTCTTTACGATGGGTTAATCTGGAGCATGGGCGCTGACGTTTGTTTTTGCCAGTGGGTGCTTTTGAAGAGGTGTGTGTGTGTTGGGGGGGCTCTGCTAGTTTTGTGGGTAAGGTTATTTTCAGCATATTTATAACTTCTTTCATATTCCAGTTATTGAATATGTGTCTATCATTGGTATCTTAACAATGTAATCATTATTAAAATAGTAATGAACTACATAATTACATTATCATGAATTACAGTATATTAAAATCATTGCACTCACCTACGAGATGTCTTCACTAACGTCTCAGTTTAAAGACATTACGTCTCACTGTAGCTTTTTGGATGGGAAAGTGTCAACAACACTGTGGCTCATGGGTGCTCAGTACTGGGTTTACAATGGCGCTGTGGCACCAGACCCACACGGAGAAGGGGCCCCGGCGCCCGGATTGTGTCCCCCACCACCCACATTCCCCCCAAGGCCCCGTCCGCCGCTTACTCCTCTCCACCCCTTCCTCCCCCTCGCATGCGGGGGCCTCAAGGGGAAGAGGCTGAGCAGGGGTTGGGCGAAGCCAGGAGTGGTGCCAACAAAACATTAATCTGGCTCTGCGCATGCTAAGCACCCCCTGGTTTTTTTTGGTGGGTCCTTGAGTCTCAGAGCAACCAAGGTGTCAGCGCCTATGATCTGAAGTGCCAGCTTTTCTGATTCCGCAACTGAAAAATATACCGTTTGGTTGCTATCTGAAAGAGAATAAACTCAATAGGACAGTATCTCTCTGCATCACTTTAAGCTCTCACTCTTCCCTGAAATCCTGGGGATAAGATCTGCATTTCTCTCCCTTTCTTGCAGGAACACACTTGCCAATAGCTGTGGAACTGGAATTCGGTCCTCCACGAGTGATCCCAGCAGGAAGCCTCTGGACAGCAGGGTTCTTAATGCAGTGAAATGTAAGGGAGAGAGATTTACTGCTGCCGGGTTAGAACCGTCTGGCAAAAACAAAAGGCTAGGAAAGAGCTGCAGTTTAAACAGGGGAAGGCCATCAAGAGTGTATAATAATTGTGACGATATACATTGAAATTGGTAATGTGAACATTCAAATCTTTTCACTGTTTTTAAAAAAAATACTTTACATTATTTGTCCAAAGTTAGTATTTTGTGTTTGACAATATCACCGTGTGAAACTGAACATTATTGTTCACATGATCTTGAATTGTGTTTGGTATTTTTTTAAATCACTAATTTTGCAGTACAGTACTTTTATTAATAGATGAGATTTTTTTAAAACGGGGGCTATTTTTTCATTGGCTTACATGCTTGATAACTGAAACTGTCCGTTTCACAAAGCGCGAAATAACTTTACTAAACTAGGGCTCTGAGCCTGCAGCCAGATTCATGTAGGTGCAGGGATCCACCCGTGCGGATCAGAGCCAAACCAGGAGAGATTTTCCATATGCGCCCTCGGTGCTTCTCTGTCTGCTCCTCCTTGATCCTGGCCATAGCTCTGCCTGAAAGTTGCAGTGCTTTATGGCAGTGGTTCTCAACCTTTCCAGACAACTGTCCCCCTTTCAGGAGTCTGATTTGTCTTGAGTACCCCCAGTTCCACCTCGCTTAAAAACTACTTGTTTACAAAATCAGACAGAGAAATAGAAAAGTGTCCCAGCTCCGTTACTGACAAATGGCTGACGTTCTCATTTTTACCATAGAATTGTAAAATAAATCCATTGGCTAGAAGTATCATTTCAGTGTGAGACTGAGGCTGTTTTTCACTTGTGAGCCTTGTTTGAAGCCCAAGACCTGCCGCCAGGGCTGAAGCATGTAACTTAGGTTTGCAGGGGCCCCATATGGCGTGGGGCCTGGGGCAGTTGCCCTACTTGCCACCTCTTAATGCCAGCCCTGCATTTGTGAGCTGTCCCAGAGGACCTCTGAGTACCCCCAGGGATACACGTACCCCTGCTTCAGAACCACTGCTTTATGGCACACCATTTTTTGTTCTGAATGAGTAAATTGGCCACTGAGAATTAGAAATTCTGCAGTCTGCATCAGAACTTGTTAATGTGGATTAATCTATTTCATCATCTGGGTATAAGCATTTGTGTTTCACAGCCTATTTCCCTGAAAATGCTTGTTTATAAATCTTTTTTTTTATTTTGTAAGTAAAAGGCAGTCTTTCTGCAAATAATTACATTTTAAAAGGGATATATGTAAACAATAATAGCTTCTTTTTTTTTTTTTAAATCATTTTTTGAGCTTGGAAACTGACCAAGGTTCTGTATAATATCAAGCCGTTTATCCAGTCTGTACATAGAGGATCTAAAATCCATTTTAGAGCTGATAATGTAATAGGATTTAACTGTTTTAAAAACTGAAACTGTCCCAAAAGGCCATAAGGTAAGACTCTATACATTTTAACTAATAAATAATGCTCTTTAACTTCAGTGATTCAATGTCTGAGATGCTAAGAACTAATTCCTGTATTTGTGATATCTAAATGCGGAGCGCCAGCCAGTGGAGCTATGCTGATTGATACTAGCTGAGGATCTGGCCCATTTTCTATGCTCTGAATATGGGAAAACTGATGATCACAATATAGAAATCCTAATAGTCATCCTAAAAAAAAGAAGTTTTATACTTAAAAATATGTGCCTACAAGGCACAAAACAAGTGGTTAAAAAATTGCCTATTACAGTAATTCTTTTGAATACAAGAAGCACATTAGTAGAGCAAATGGTGCTTGATGTCGACTGCAAGTGAGGAACTCTGTGGTTTAGAAAAAGCTGGTCTTTTAGTACAGTGAAGCTCATTTAATATATGCTTGATGTACAGCGCAAGCCAGTGTCCTCTCATCCTTTCCCCTCAATGGATTCTGTCTGGGTAGTAAATCTTTATGTAAATATCTCACTACAAAATGGAAGTGGAGTGAATTTTTTTTTTTTTTAGATTTGTTAAATAAATCTTTCCTTGCCCTAATTGTTGTTCTGCTGCAGAACTCTGAGGGCCTTCGAGCCCCAACTGCAGATCTGTAGGGTGTGGAGGGAGGCGAAGAAGTAGCAAAAGACATTGATTGATATGTAAAAGTCAGAAATATTGGACTGCATTAATTATTTCCTGAGCCACAGATTGTTTGAGGGGCTTTACAAAGCAAAGCCCGAGTCCCTGAGAAGGAAGAACTTTCCAACTAAAGGCTCAGTCTTGCAAAGTGCTGAGCACTTCCCAAGAAGCACTGGGCACCCTCCACTACTGCTGTAGGAGATGACAGCACTTTCCAGGGGAATTTTGATAAATAGCCATGGATGCCCTGAAATCACAGTACAGGCCCAAATGGATTCTGGACAATAGGGCAAGACCCTATGTCCAGAAAAATCCTGGGGTTTTGAATTTGTATGTTACCCATTTAATTACTGATAGTTAAATGAAGGAATGAGTTGAATACTCCAAATATACAGTGAGATCTGATTGAAGTGATCACCAAGAAGTACAGGAGTACTTGTGGCACCTTAGAGACTAACACATCTATTTGAGCATAAGCTTTCGTGGGCTACAGCCCACTTCATCAGATGCATAGAATGGAACATACAGAAAGAAGATGTATATACATACAGAGAACATGAAAAGGTGGGAGTTGCCATACCAACTCTAAGAGGCTAATTAATTAAGATGAGCTATTATCAGCAGGAGAAAAAAACCTTTTGTAGTGATAATCAAGATGGCCCATTTCAGACAAAAAGGTGTGAGGATACTTAGCATGAGGAAATAGATTCAATTTTTGTAATGACCCAGCCACTCCCAGTCCTGATACAGATACTGATGGTGTACTTTTACTGTCCTGATAACATCCCATTCAGCACTGCTGCAGAACTTTCTCCTTCTCCCCACAACAGGTTTAGTGATGATTTACCTCTAAATAAACGTCTAGTAAAATCCTACTAGAAAATTTGGGAGCAATTTAAGGCATGGACTTGCCTATTGGTAGTAGTGATACCATCTGGAATACAAACTCCCATGTTTCAGTGTCTAAGCCAGCTGGTAACTGCCTGGGTTTTAGCAATAAACTTCCCCTATGGATAAGTTGTCCCATAATTGTCCATAAAGGGATTTCTTGTACCTTCCTCCATAGCATCTGGTACAAGTACTGGAAACAGGCTATTGGATTAGATGAACCAGTGGTCTCATCTAGTATAACAATTATGTTCTTGTGATAAAACCGTATGTTTTCTGTCAGATATAACCATAGCTGCATGTTATTAATGTCTTGTGGTACAGTGCTGAGATGGGACAAAGGCTCTGATCACACAAACTTCTTTGTGTTGCTTATGTAGTAGTCCTCAGTGAAATGTATCCCTGTCTTTGCAGTGTATTGTCAGAATTTTGCCCCAAGCTTTAAGGAAAGCGAGATGAATGTTATTGCAGCCGATATGTGCACCAACGCCCGACGAGTCCGCAAGCGCTGGCTTCCGAAGATTAAGTCCATGTTGCCAGAAGGGATGGAGATGTACCGTACGGTCATGGGCTCCACAACAAACAGTGTCCCCCTGGATCCGGAATTCCAACCCAGCACCGCTCAAGTCTTTGAGCAGCGAATCTATGCAGAAAGGAGGAGTGATTCGGGAACTATAGTAGCTTTGAGAACTAACACAGTAAATGTCGATCTAAGCAATGGATCCAACCAATCATTTGAACAGAGTGAGGATGCCGAAGGGGCTGGCTCTGTTATACAGGAGGCAGCTGGAACAGATGCCGTGGCGTCAGATACCCAAAGCACTCCACAACCTTTCGAACAAGGTGCTGGCTCCACTAGCCGGCCAGAAACTCCAGTGAGAAGACAAGATGGTACTTATGGAGGGACTTTATAAAAGAGAGAAAACATTTTGTGACCTATAAGGGATCCGTAATACTAAAGCTGCTTGCATGCATTACTAATACAAAAAAATGTGATCAAGCCACTTACCTACTGAACTGCTACTGTTGCCTGAAAAAAATGTGATTTTTATTCTGCTTGTATTTAAAATTTATGAAGGAAATAATTGCATTCGTTACACTGTAAATGACTAGGTCTATGGCGACCTACTGAAAACAAATATTGGGCTCCTTTTTGATATTCCTGAGATTAGCCTATAAGATTGTAGCTTTTTTTTTTTTAAAGAAGGGGAGGAAAAAAGCTTGACACTCCCCGCTGCTGCGCCGCATCATCACCACCCCATGCATTATTCAGCTCCGAAGTAAAGCCATCATTAACTTCTTCCTCTAGAGAAAGTTTTACCGTCACTTAACAGGAAAGAAAGATGTGTTAAGGTAGAAGTCATGTGACTTAGTCATTTTTGTCTGTACAATTGGCTCTAACAAGGCGGGGTGGGGTGGGGAATTGCTAAAAAAAACTTCTGTTGTTAAATGATCAGAGAACAGATCCTTAACATTGGTGTTACTAAGTGTGAGGCTGTAACCAAGGTCAGAGGGCTCTTCAGTGTCTGTCCGCTGATTTGTTGTTGTTTTTAGTTGCTATAGGATAGGGGTGGCCACACCTTTTATTTTATATTTGTATGAGTCGGGAGGACTGCGTGGTAATTGCAGACTGAGACCCTGGGTGTGATATTCTCCTGCAGTATGACTCCTGTCTGTCTCTCCGGGAGCTACTCCTTCTTTCCCCCCCTTGCCAGCATGTGGTATAGCTTTATACCACTGACCTTCTTGATTTAATCAGCTTCTACAACCTCACCTCCTCCTCTTTTACCTTGTGGCAGTGACGAACTCGACTGGCCCACTTGCCGGGCAACCCCTTGGCCACCTCTTTACTAGGCTAATACTCCTTAATAATTAATTTCAGTCCAATCGCTGAGACAGGTTGTAATAGTTTCAGAGAGAAACTGAACTGCAGAAATGGGAAAACAGATCTAGATATAGATAGATACGTTGTTTTTTTCCTTTAAAAAGGTATAGACAAAGATTGTAGGGGAATGATACTTGGAAGTAAATGTAGCAGGCAGATGGAGTGAGCCTCAGTGAGAATTCAGCTATACCTGGTAATGGTTTGAATGAACTTCGTTTCAGTGCTTGTTACATGGCTTGGAGTGAGGGAGCGGTCTGATTTAACTTGTAGGCATGCACTAATAACCGCTATCCACTGCTTGGAATGCACCATTGATCACACCCTCCCTCGCATTGAGGTGCACATGATAGGGTAGAAGAAAATTAAGATTCCCCACCCACCCATCACCCCTTTTAAAATTTAACTGGGCCCTGCAGGAGACAAAAGTCCTAGCTTTCAGGAACTAGTTTTCCCCAAGCCACACAGCAGAATGTAGTTGTCAGCTTGTGAGGATGCATTCAGCCCCTCCAAACGCAGTATTACTGGCAACTGGAACAGAAAGCCACCTCGCTCTTTTTACTCTAAACAACAGAAAACTTTGCTCCAAAGAGACCATGCTTGCTTGAAATAGCAACTCTTCCTCCAAAGATGCCTGGCAAAGTCAGACTGGCCTGGGTTGAAACACTCGGTTTCCTTGACAGCTGCCGCAGTCTGTAAGCTCCTGAAGAGGCCTATAGCCTGCCCTGTGTTTTTAACATGTAAAGTATATTAAATACAAAGGGAAAAATCTGATTTGTTTTCATGATTTTTGGTTCTGTCCTTCCATGAAGTACTTTTTCCTTCTACCCTCTCACTCCAAATACCTCTTCATGGAAAGAGAATCCAGGGGAAATATTTGATCACTTATAAAAAGAAATCCTTTCGATGCCCTTCTGGGTACATTTTATGGCACTTTGCCTTCTTGGCCCTGTGTCTAACAAGACACTTCGGCATGCATTATTATGCAATAACACACACTGTGTTACATCTGACTGTTAGAAGCGTGTGCTAAGTGAAGGGGCAGCTGGTATGTATACAGGTATATGCGCAAGTCGTAATGGAAGTTTGTCCTCCAGAGCTATGGGTGGACATGTGCTCTCTCTATGTTGACTTCTTCTGAGTGCTTTCATTTTTGAAACCGAAGGTCAGACTAGATGAGAAAATCCCCAAAGTGACAGTAAACCTTTCCGGAAAGTAACGACATCCCCAGAACTTCTGAAAACATACAGAGTGCAAAGCATGGCACGCAGTTCCCGGATTGCGCTTCTCATTACCGTGCTTCTTACGTGAGTTCCGTTATTAAGTTTGTACTACTTGCAGAGGCGAGAGAGGATTGCAAGGTTACCTGGATGGGAGGCAGGGAGGCTGTGAGTATGTGCTGAGAGCCAGCATGGAGACAGTGGTGTATGTAGAAAAGGGAAATACCAGGTGCTCATCGGCATGAAGCTGGTGCTTGATAATGCCGTGTTTGGAATGCTTTTAAGATTCAGGGGGAGGGGGAGTGATATGAAAGCCAAATACGGCTTGTTTTTGTTTGTTTTCATTTGTTTTTACTGTGACTAAAATGCCTGCTTTAAAGTTATTTACAATTCCTTGTAAAAACAAAGTTTGAAACTATGAACAAGTGCTAAGTGCACAAATAGTCATCTGCGAAGGCTATTGATGGCTATTTAGAGTTGGTTTTGGTAACTGAATTCACAGACAGCGCTTTGCTCAGGGGTTTACTCCTCTCTCTATGTAAAAGCGGGGAAAGGGGGTGACCCAGCCTTCGGCCATTTTTTTCTTCAATACTTGAAGCTGTGTTTGCATCTTACTAGCAAAGTTCTCCAACACTTAAGGTGTTCCAACCTCCTCCTCGATTTGCCCTGAATAAAATACACAGCGGGGTCTATTCTACCTTACGTCTTGTGTAGCTCTAAATTTTGTATGATTTGAATCTGGCTCTCTTGAGATGTAACTGAGCTGGTATTCTGCCCTCCCCAGTCACATGGATTGGTGCCCTTAAGACCTATGCAAAGTTGTGTGGCTGAGTGGGTATTGTTTGTGTGTATTAAAGAGTAGGGCATTTGTGGATCATATTTTCACTTTGCCCACCTCTGCAAATGAAAATTTTCCTCTTGCTACGTTTGAAATGCCCATTCTTTCCTACATGCGGTGCCCAGAGCTCGCCCCATGCTCTGTTTGCATGGTTTATCCACGTGGCTGGCAGAATATCACACAGAGTATGCACCTTCTGAGCTGCATAGTAGATTGGTGCTTATGTGCCACTTGTCAAGATATGGCCCTAGGAACAAATCTTATTAGGGACCATAGAACTCGACTTGCTTGGGGCTGCTTTTTTCAGGGAATTGACTGGTCCAGTTCTTTAGCCATTTCACTGTCACCCCAGATAAATGCTGGGAATCTGCCTCGAATAGACTGACTCAAACCTCATGGTAGCACGTCCCATATGAAATGAGGCTTGGTGGGGCAGCAGTGTTCGCAGTGAGCCTCCGTTCTCACTGCAAATCCTTCAGCTACTTGGCAGAGTTCATTACAAGTCAGCAACTTTCCTAAGTCTGAGATTAAATGAGCTGGGAAATAGAGATGCAAGATTTAAGTCTCTGCTTTACATACCTGCCCCGAGGAGTTCAGTCCTATCATCAGAATGACAGTTTAAGTACTGACTGTCCCTTTATGTATTTTTTCAAAATGATACTAAAAATCCCACCCTCTTTTGTGTGGCACTTTTAGTGTTTGGTAAATTTACTGAACCCTCCAACTGAGATTCACAGTTGGCTAAAGCTTCTCTGGACCAACCTAACTGCAAAATAAATGCACCTAATGCCCTGAATGGGGAGACCCTAGACTGAATTAGCAGCAGAAGTACTTGAATGATATAGAATGGCTTAGGACAGAGAATCTGAAGAGAGTCAAGTTGCACAGTGAAAAAAATATATATTTTTATATCTAGCACAACTTCCTGTAATTTCTTTTATTTTTTATTTTTATTTTTTTTTTAAATTAGAAAGGCAAACTTTTAAAATGTGAAGGGTGGAGGTTTTTTTCCTTGTCTGGTAGATGAGGGCAAGCATTTTGCACTAATGTTTCCTGTGTGTGGAGGATTAATGATATGTTTGAAAATGTATATGGATGATGATTGTATTCTTTGGGGGGGAAATAATCCCTTTAAAATACTGAATGTAAAGTGATAACAGAGCAGTCCATTGATTGTATGGGGCTTTCCTGAGTGCCTTAGAATTTTTTGATCATTTTTTCCCAGGAAAACAGATTAAGAAAATCAGATCATAACCAAATCCTCCCTCCTCTTTGTTTACGACACCCTTTTAAATCATAGAATTTGGGGCTGCTTTATAATGTGAATATGAAACTGCATTCATCTAGATCTGGTAGTACAAATCGAAGCATCAGTATTTATGGTATGTCTGCACCTTTATTCATATGCTTGACTATTAGCAATATTACATGTATATTATATATCTAAAGTTATATCAAGCACCTTTTGAAAAAACTGAATGGCATTTAAGCTTACAAGTTATATGCAGTTGCCATATGGTGTAGAACCCGGACTCTCTCCTCCTCGCTAGCTCAAATTAAAGAACAGTGTCCTGATTACAGTTGCTGTGTAGAAGGGTAGCATGACCTTCTGCTGTATCTCTATCCATCCTGTGTTAATACTGTGCGATTCCAGTTTGAGCTCAGATTCGTAACGAAAATGTTACCAGCATATGATGGGGTTTCACGAACTGATAGGCAGTCACACCATGCACCTTCTTACTGCAGGGTTGAATCAATGCCAAGCCTTCAATTTATTGGAGGTTGCCCAGTCTTTCTGGACCTGATCTCCTCACATATGCCGGTGTAAATCAGTAGTAACTCCACTAAGGTCAATGGAGTTACACTGGTGGAAGTCCAATGAAATTGAGAAGAAAATCACGCCCACTGTGTTTTCCTAAGAATGCTGCTCTTTACCTCCGGGAGGAGAGGGGGAGACTAGGTGACTAGGAAAAACTCGTGAAGAAATTCACCTTAGATTCTCAAAAACCGAAAAATGGGTCCATTTTGCCATGTGTTGTGGACGGTTTGCTTTGACACTTCCTTAGCGAGTGTAACCTTTTTGCAGTCTGTTCAGACTGAAGACTCTCCTAAGGGGGCTAGAATTATTGCTGTCTAAATTCCCAATGGATTCGCGCTCAATTGCATACACTTTAATCTTTCTCTTGCATAGTGCAGTGCTTTAATATGGAAAGAGAAACAAAGGGTTAAGCTCATCTTATTACAGTCTTTTTTTAACAGCGACACAAAACTGGAATTGTTCCCTATTTAACACATGTTTGAAGGACCATAGCATTCTAGACATGGTATTCTGCAAAGGACTGATGCATTTCCTCAGTCATTTTACTGCTAAGGTTTTGTTCAGATTGCTTATTTTTATGGAAATCTCTTGCTGCAAGTGGAGAAGGGTGTATGGCCCATTAACCAACTGAAAACTTATAGACAACCCCTGTTTGCTTCTACTGGCAGTAAATTCTAAACAGAAAATTGAGAGTTCATAGCTGTCTTGGGCTTCAACTACTGTTTCAAAGTGTTCCTGCTGTATAAATTCGTCATTATGTCAACAAGCAAGCTCCAGACATGATTATTACCATGCCCAAGATATTCAGGGCTTGCTAGGAGATGGTTATAAAAATGAGGGTTTAAAAAAAAAGTAAATATAAAAAAACGTTGAAGTCTAAAGCACTCAAATTGGAAAACCTTCAAGTGTTCTGATCAGTTTCTTCCATTCTAAGCATTTTGCACAGGATTGTGATTTTTATGTCAAAATAAAAGCCAAAACTTGCAATACTATTTTTAGCAGACAAAAAAACAAAACAAAAAAAACCTAAGTATAAATGT